CCTACGGGTCTTAATAGATCATGGGTTACCTTTGTAGTACTAAATGGGGATATAGGTACCTTTGTATTGGCCGAAGGATATACTGTATTGTACGTCTTGGTTAGGTTAGGTTAGGTTTATGAACGTGATAGACCAGCGGGAGTTGCCGAGTACCATTGTGTGTGAGAGAGAGAGAGAGAGAGAGAGAGAGAGAGAGAGTTTGTTGACGGGAAACTTGACCTCATGGCGTTGTAGCTACTGGCAATGTCATGCAATTCCCTTTCTCCCTCTCTCCTCTCCGCTTCTCCTCCTTCTCTTCCTTCCTTCTCCCCTCTCCTCCTCTCTCCTCTTCCCCCTCTCCCTTCCTCTCTCCCTTCTTGTTCTACCTCTCTCCCTTCTCCCTCATTCCTCCCTCACCCAACACGAAGACCACGCTTGACCTTGTTGTGAGGGAGGGACGGAGGAAGGTAGGGTGGGAGGGAGGGAGGGAAGGAAGGGGGGGGGTTGATGAAAGACAGGAAATTAGAAGAGAGGAAGGGAGGAGATGGGCTGGGCAGGTGAAGGGACTAAGGGCTGGGGGCTGGGAGAAGTCAGGTGTGAGGTTGACGTCATGGGGGGTGGGGGTGAAGTTGACATCTTATTTCAGGTTTTGTGGGAATACGTCGTGTAAGGGAGCTGAGAGAGGCGAGGGGGGGGGGAGGCACCGCTGTGACGTAATGCTGTGGTGCTGTGACGTAATGCTGTGGTGCTTTAATGAAAATGATGATGTTAATGACTGTTGGGAATACTAATGACGATAATGATGATGACTACAGTGACTAGCATGCAACACCCAGACACGAATCATGGGGTGAGTGACACAGAGGACGCCATGAGTGACCAGCGTGTGAGTAACCTGTGTGTGGGTGACCAGCGTGTGAGTGAGTGTCCGGTGGGGTGAGGGATGAGTGGCACAGAGGGCGCCATGAGTGACGTGTGTGTAAGTGACCTGTGTATGAGTGAGTGTCCGGTGGGGGGGGGGGTGAGGGATGAGTGACACAGGGCGCCTTGAGTGACCTGTGTGTGAGTGACCTGCTGATAGAGGTTCGTTCCCTGGAGATCTTTAAGAAGTGTCCCGTGTGAGTGTTGATAACGCGTTGTTATTGTGGTGGTAGTTGTGGTTGTTATGGTTGTTATTGTAGTGGTGGTAGTTGGGATTGTGGTGGTTGATGGGATTGTGATTGTGGTTGTTGTGGTTGTTTGATGGGATTGTGGTTGTGGTAGTTGGGATTGTGTTGGTTGTTGTTGTTAGCTGATGGGTGTCCACTATACCTCACTGTCATCACAACACACACACACACACACAAGGCAGTGACCTCTCTCACACCAATAGACTAACTAGACTTTCTCGTGTCCACATGGTCGTTAATTGAGAGAATGAGGTAGTTTTTAGCGTTCTGTAAACCAGCTAATTGACGCATCAACTATATACGGTGTGTGTGTGTGTGTGTGTGTGTGTGTGTGTGTGTGTGTGTGTGTGTGTGTGTGTGTGTGTGTGTGTGTGTGTCGCTGCACCACAACACACAAGGACACACACACACTCTCTCTCTCTCTCTCTCCAACGTTGGTGGGGTGATGGTGGGGGTGACACACACACCAACAACATGGCTCTTCTCTCCACCTTTCTTTCTCTTCCTTCTTCTTCATCTAACGATAACGACCCCCCAACCCGCCACTAACGACTTTTAACCAGCCACTAACGAGTAACGGCCCTTCAACCAGCCACTAACGACCGTTCAACCAACCACTAACGAGTAACGGCCCTTCAACCAGCCGCTAACGACCCTCAACCAACCACTAACGACCTTCACCAGCCACTAACGACCGTTCAACCAACCACTAACAAGCAACGGCCCTTCAACCAGCCGCTAACGACCCTCAACTAACCACTAACGACCTTTTAACCAACCACTAACGACCGTTCAACCAACCACTAACAAGCAACGGCCCTTCAACCAGCCGCTAACGACCCTCAACTAACCACTAACGACCTTTTAACCAACCACTAACGAATAACGACCCCAACTAGCCGCTAACGAACCAACAGCGGTAGCGATAAGGCATTAACGAGGCGCGAACGGTCTCTTGGGAGGGGGGCGGGGGTCGTCACACTCCCTGGGGGGATGGAGGAAAGGAACCACTGTAAAATAGTATAGAATTGTAGGTTAGATAGGTTGTAGATAGGTTAGGTTAGATAGGATAGGGATAGGTTAGTTAGGTTAGGATAGGTTAGGTTAGGTTTAGATAGGTTGTTAGGTTGGGATAGGTTAGGTTAAGTTAGGATAGGTTAAGTTAGGTTAGGATAGGTTTGGTTAGGATAGGTAGGTGGAACAAGTTGCAACGTGTTGTTTTTGTGGTGGTGGTCACTGGGACATGAACTAACTTATTGTTGTGGTGATTGGAACATGAACTAACGTGTTTGTTGTTGTTACAGGTAGAGGGCGTGGCGGCGTGGGCGTGGGAGAATATGGTCTCTGGCAGCCTGCCAGCCACGCAGGTTACGAGCCTGAGAGAGCACTGTACCATAGTCATAGTACTGCGTGGTACAGTGTGTGGCCAGTGTGGTACATTGTGTGGTACAGTATACAAAGTGTGTGTAGTAACAGTGTGGTGGTACATTAGGGTACAGTGTGTGTACAGTGTAGCAGGGTACAGTGTGTGGTACAGTGTAGGTACAGTGTGTGGTACAGTGTGTGGTACAGTGTAGGTACAGTGTGTGGGTCCTCAGGAGTGACCAGGCCTGAATCCTTTGCTGGGGTGGTACAATTTATTTAGAGGGTCGCTTGTGTCAGGTGAACCAAGGTCAGGTGTGTGTGTGTGTGTGTGTGTGTGTGTGTGTGTGTGTGTGTGTGTGTGAATTTTGATTGACTTAGGTTGAATTAGGTTAGGTTAAATGAGGTTAAATAAGGTTAAATAAGGTTAAATAAGGTAATAGCTTTGAGCTTTAGTGGAGTGTAATGCGTCTGGTGGCCCTGATAATGGCCTCACACACTACAACTTGGGAGGGAGAGAGAGTGTTAAGTGCCTTTAACAAGATGTGAGTTCTGTAGTGTGTTGAGTTCTAATGTTGCCTCTGTCCTTCTCTTCTATTTTTCTCTCTTATCTCTCTCTCTTCTTTTTTCTCCATTCTCTTTGTCTTCTCTCTTTTTCTCGTTCTATTTTTTATCTCTTCTCTCCTTCTCTTCTCTTATGTTCTCTCATATTTTTCCTTCTTTTGTCTCTTCATTCTCTTGTCTTCTCTTCTCTTTCTTCTCTTTCTCTCTCTTCTTCTCTTTTCTGTTCTCCTTTTGTTGTTATTTGTCTGTCTGTCTCTTGTGAACTTCGACCTCTACCGCCTCGTGACCTTTGACCTCAGGTAAAAAGGTTCTGTCCTGTAGAATCCCGATAAGGCCTTAAAAATATCCGGGTTCGGTTAAAGAAGAGAGTCACGAGCGAATCCTAGAACCCATAATCTTCGTGGGGTCGGATTTGCTTAAAGAAATGGTCGGGTTCAGTTATAGAAGAGTCGGATTCACTTAAAGAGTAGAGTCGAGTTCACTTAAAGCAGAAAGTCGGGTTCAGTTAAAGAAGAAAGTTGGGTTCAGTTAAAGAAGAAAGTCGGGTTCAGTTAAAGAGGAGTCGGGTTCAGTTAAAAGAGTCGGGTTCAGTTAAAGAAGAGTCGGGTTCTTTTTAAACGAATTTTAGAACCCATTGATTGTCTGTACCAGGGGTTCTTGTTTACATACACACACCCACACCATACTGGGGGTGGGGGGTTGATTGGGGTAGGATGGGGGGGAGGTGGCTATGGATGGGGTTGGGTGGTAGGGGGTTTGGTGGCGTAGTTGGGAGTGGGGTGGGGGGTGGTTGTAGGTGTGTCGGCTGGAGGGTGGGGGTCTGAGTGGGGTAGTTGGGTAGGGGGTTAACGCCAGGCTAAGTGTGAGTGGGGGGTGGTTGGGTATGGATGGGGAGCTGAGTGGCGTGGTTTTGATGGGGGTGGGATAGGAAGGGGTTTTGGGGAGGGTATGGTGGGGGTGAGGTGGGGAGTTTAAAATTAGCCTTTGTACGAACCTCTTGTGAGATTTCTTCAAGTGAACACGTGCAAGGAGACAAGTTCTATTGAGAAGTCTGAAGAAAAATCGGGAAAAATCTTGTGGTCGTCCAAGTGGCAGGAGATGTGAGGTGGTTCTTAAATAGTTTGTTACGTAACTGTAGTGGATAGAAATCTGTCTTGTGTTTGTACCTGTGTCTACCTGTAGTTGTGTCTGTACCTGTGTCTACCTGTAGTTGTCTGCCTGTGTCTACCTGTGTCTACCTGTGTCTACCTGTAGCTGTGTCTGTCCTGTGTCTACCTGTCTACCTGTGTCTACCTGTAGTTGTGTCTGTACCTGTAGTGTTGTGTCTGTACCTGTGTCTACCTGGTCTACCTGTGTCTACCTGTAGTTGTGTGTGTACCTGTAGTTGTCTGTACCTGTGTCTACCTGTAGTTGTCTGTACCTGTGTCTACCTGTAGTTGTGTCTGTACCTGTGTCTACCTGTGTCTACCTGTAGTTGTCTGTACCTGTGTCTACCTGTAGTTGTGTGTACCTGTGTCTACCTGTAGTTGTGTCTGTACCTGCAGTTATATCTCTATCTCTATTTGTACCTGTACTTACACCTGTACCTGTATCTAAACGAATGAATAAAATAATGAACAGAGGAAAAAAAGATGAATGAATGTTCTTGTCTTAAAGAAGTGAAGAGCGGCTGCTTTAAGACCTCATTGTCTCAACACCAGGAAGACCACTTTAATGTGGCCCGAAGACGCACAATGTGGCCCACGACACCAGGAAGACACTTTAATGTGGCCCACGACACCAGGAAGACCTTTAATGTATGACACCAGGAAGACACTTTAATGTGGCCTGCACCAGGAGAAGACACTTTAATGTGACACCAGGAAGACACTTTAATGTATTTGAGACACCAGGAAGACACTTTAATGTGGCCCACAACACCAAGAACACTTTAATGTGGCCTACACCAGAGGAAGACACTTTAATGTGGCCCACGACACCAGGAAGACACTTTAATGTGGCCCACGACACCAGGAAGACACTTTAATGTACTGACACCAGGAAGACACTTTAATGTGGCCCACGACACCAGGAAGACACTTTAATGTGGCCCCACGACACCAGAAGACCTAATGTATTTACGACACCAGGAAGACACTTTAATGTATTCGACACCAGGAAGACACTTTAATGTGGCCCCGACACCAGGAAGACACTTTAATGTGGCCCACGACACCAGGAAGACACTTTAATGTGCCACGACACCAGGAAGACACTTTAATGTGGCCTGACACCAGGAGAAACTTTAATGTTGACACCAGAAGACACTTTAATGTGGCCCACGACACCAGAAGACACTTTAATGTATTCGACACCAGGAAGACACTTTAATGTGGCCCACAACACCAGGAAGACACTTTAGTGTCTAACACCAGGAAGACACTTTAATGTAACCCGGAAGACACTTTAAAGACATGAGAAGACACTTTAATGTGGCCCAACACCAGGAAGACACTTTAATGTATTCGACACCAGGAAGACACTTTAATGTGGCCCACGACACCAGAAGACACTTTAATGTGGCCCAGCACCAGAACACTTTAATGTGGCTGAAGACACTTTAATGTGTTACGACACCAGGAAGACACTTTAATGTGTACGACACCAGGAAGAACTTTAATGTGGCCCACGACACCAGGAAGACACTTTAATGGCCCACGACACCAGGAAGACACTTTAATGTATGACACCAGGAAGACACACTTTAATGTGGCCCACAACACCAGGAAGACACTTTAATGTATTGACACCAGGAAGACACTTTAATGTGACACCAGGAAGACACTTTAATGTGGCCCACACGACACCAGGAAGACACTTTAATGTATGACACCAGGAAGACACTTTAATGTGTACGACACCAGGAAGACACTTTAATGTACCTGACACCAGGAAGACACTTTAATGTGCTCACGACACCAGGAAGACACTTTAATGTCTTACGACACCAGGAAGACACTTTAATGTTGACACCAGAGACACTTTAATGTGGCCCAGAAGACACTTTAATGTGGCCCACGACACCAGGAAGACCTTTGTGTATTGACACCAGGAAGACACTTTAATGTGGCCCGACACCAGGAAGACACTTTAATGTGACACCAGGAAGACACTTTAATGTATACGACACCAGGAAGACACTTTAATGTGACACCAGGAAGACACTATGTGGCCCCCGACACCAGGAAGACACCTTTAATGGCCCAGACACTTTAATGTGCACGACACCAGGAAGACACTTTAATGTGACACCCAGGAAGACACTCTATTTGACACCAGGAAGACACTTTAATGTACGACACCAGGAAGACACTTTAATGTGGCCCACGACACCAGGAAGACACTTTAATGTGGCCCACGACACCAGAAGACACTTTAATGTGGCCGACACAGGAAACACTTTAATGTGGACACCAGGAAGACACAACACCAGGAAGACACTTTAATGTGGCCAGACACTTAATGTATGACACCAGGAAGACACTTTAATGTGGCCCACAACACGGAGAAGGAAGACACTTTAATGTATTGACACCAGGAAGACACTTTAATGTGGCCGACACAGGAAGACATGTGTGGCCCAACACCAGGAAGACACAATGTGGCCCCAGCACAGGAAGACACTTTAATGTGGCCCACAACACCAGGAAGACACTTTAATGTTTGACACCGGAAACCATCAGGAAGACACTTTATTAATGCCGAAGACACTTTAATGTGGCCCACAACATAGAGAGGAGTGGTGGTGATAATGAACCGGGTAGAGAGTGATAATGTAAGAGAGGAGGAGGAGGAAGAAGAATATTAACTAAAGTAGGGAGAAAAAGATGATGATGATGATGATGATGATGATGATGATGATGATGATGATGATGATGATGATGATGACAGCAAGAATATTTAACCTGAGTCAAATGAATCAATCAGTGAGTGAGTGAATCTGTCAGGAAAGACGTGCATAGAGCTGACTGATGCAGGTGACAAAAGCTTCACATAAGACCCTAATTAAGGTCATGTGTTAGGGAGGGAGGAGGGATGGGAAGACGGAAGGAAGGAAGTAGGGAGTAGGGGAGAGGAAGGAGGGATGGGAAGACGGAAGGAAGAGTAGGGGGAGGTAGGGAGGGGGAATGAGTCCTGTTGGAGGGAAGTGTGCGTGTGTGTGTGTGCGTGCGTGTGCGTGTGTGCGTGTACAGTGCCTCTTGATGATTGAGGGCACCAGGTGTTGTTGCTTGGTGTGGGTGGTGAGGTGGTCCTGTGGCATGGTGTGTTGGCTCAGTGCCGGAGGTGCCACCTGGTGCGTATGTGTGGGGAGGGTGTTGGGGGGGGGCAGGGGATCGTGTAGGGGAAGGAATGGGGAGGGTTGGTGTAACTTAGGGAATGGGATGGG